CACTGCAATACGGTTTTCGGTCTACTATGTATTATAGATAAGGGCACAACTTCTATTTTTGCCTGAGAACTAACAGTAGTTATGGATAATTATTAGGAAGACACAACTTTTATTTTCGGCTGAGAACTAACAATAATTGCGTATAAGACGGGGCTTGGGGCCTTGAAGCCTAAGCCTACCTGTTGGAATAAGGTGCGCGAGGAGCAGCTCGGGGCTGCCGGTGAGTATGCAGCTGTCCGTTCTCACGTTCGTCAGCGCCACCGCTGATTCATATTGCATTCGGCTACAAAGCCCTGTTCGTGGCGCGATCTTCGGCTTGCGATGCGATCGATATTTATCGATTGTACGCAGCCACCCACACTTGGTGTCTGGACGAGCAATAAAACAGACTGGCGACATGATTTGCCGGGGTTAGAGAACACTAGTCGCTGCTGCTGAGTCGCCTCAACAAAACAGCGTCATCCTGACTTGGGAGCTTTCATGTTGTCGACCTTCTTATGCCAAGAAATGCTCAGAACAGTGTTACACCATGACAAGTAGAAGTAAAAAGACGGGAGGACCGGTTGCTTATAACAACTACTTAATTCAAGGCCTGCAGACAGCGGATATCTAGCTCCTCAACCCTAGCTTATTTATAGGATTTCCGGCGATTCTCGAACGTTGCTGCCAATGGCGTGCGAGGAACGTTCTAGAATATTACGGTTATGGCGTGGCGATCACCGATTGGTTGGCTCGTGCGTGAATATCACTTTCGCGAAAATATTGATCTGCAGCACGGGTGAGTAAAAACATCACGCGTGGTCGATATTGTCCTGCGCACTAATTGGATTTTTGGCTTAAAATTCCGTAGGCAACTTGGCACGGCGCGTGGCTTCGTCTTTTTTCCGCAAGCCACGCCGTAACCGGTTAGGCCGGCCTTTGTTCAAGTTAAATAATGGTTTATGGTCCAAATTCGCTTCTACTTTATCCGTCATGGACTGCAAAGACGGTCTGTGACTTGGACAGCGAACGAGACGGTCACGTCCCCGGAAATTCGCACAGGTAATCTTCATAGACCACGCGCGCCCCTGTATCCGTTTCGATTACTAGCCGTTTTCATAAGTGTACGCAAATTTGTATCTGAATTTTACAATACTAGTTAAACTGTAACAATTCGGTGTCCATGACTGCAGATTTCAAGATTACTGTGTCGCAATGAGAACTATCTGCCTTCAGCAGCCGCCGTTAGGATAATCTTCCCTCAAAATGGCCCCATAACCATAATTTCCAGATGGTGAACGAAAGACAATGAACTTACCTTCGTCAGGGCTCTCTCTGGAGCTACAAACCGCTCTTGATCGTACCGCTTTTGTTGCCCAAGATGTAGTAACCGTACAATCGAGTGAGTTGTTCCAGTGCAATAAAGGTCAGGATTGTGTGCGGGCCT